TCCTTTGACGACAAGTTGTGCACCAGTTTGTCGTTTTTGGATGACAGTGGAACAGACAGCTTACGAAATTTACTCTCTAGGGCTGCTTCGCGCGTTGCTTTATGTTCGCGGGTTCGTTCGGCCAGTCTCTGCTGAAGCAGTTTTATGCCGTCCTTGCTCATGAACGCGCACCACCTTGCTTTCTCTTGGTCAATCCTCTGACGGTAATCTCTCTGATTCGCAAATACCACACTGAGCAACCTAAAAAGCACTTGTCCGTTCGCCCAGTTGGCTGATCTCAACCCTCTCGTGGTTCGTTATATTGAATATGCGCACAATTTCTGCCATTTATACTAGCGTTTGAAAGCGGTTGAGAATACATTTCTTTTTCCTTAGCATACCTGGGTTTAGACCGGATAATGTGCTACACGCTAACCAGTGTATAAACTCCTGATAGCACTGATAGCACTTGTAATTATTCATCCATCTGCGTCACTTTAATACTACTACTGCAGTTTTTTATATTCCGTTTTTTGAATTGTTGATATTTTCCGCGATTTGTAGCAAATAGGGAATTCTGAAGTTCAAGCCTAAATTTCCCTTACATAAACTGAACTGAACAGAACACTTAACGGTCAGCAGGAAAGACCATCAGTAGGAAGAAGTATGGGAAAGAACGAAAACGGTCCGGCGAGTACAAAGGCAATCTCTATTGTAGCCTGTCAGCGTTCGTTCCTTACTTGTGTTTTTGTCTCCCTTCAGCTTTTCTGCGGTGAAGGCAAAACAATTAATTTGAAGTATTTTTTGCTAGACAGTAACTTTGCATTTGATTGCTTATTATCACTTAATCAATGTTTCAAGCGACATTAGGATTTCCATTTTGAACGATTAGCCCGTTTGTCATCCATAAGTAATTCTGGATGACAACGAAATTGCTTTACAAGTCATTCAATCAAACATCATTCGTTTCCGGCCGCTTTGCATAAAGAAATGCTCCGCAGAAGTATGCTTTGGTCCCTCTTCCCAGTGGTGGCACAGGCAGGATTTTATTAGCGTCACTAACGCCTTCCCGAGAGAGGTGATTTAAAAACATCTCTTTAGGCCTTTTTTCTCGCTGGTCGTTTAGGCTTCTGTACAGAAAAGAGGTTCGTTTTTCGGTTAAGTAGTTTATAGTTAAAGGACTAATTTAAAATTTTGGCCGTTAAATTAGCCTAGTTAATTTACAATGCGTTGAAACCCGTGATAACCGGTGATCACATTTGTCAAGCCACCTGTTTAATGAAACCGAGCAATGTCACGGCGGTGTCTGTATAACTAGGCTGTCAGCATAATGTACAAAACTTAGATATTGCGTTAATTGCCTTTTTGGCTCGTAATGTATAACTCAGAAATCGCTCAAGCAAACAAACCTATGCATCATGCGACGATTGCTTCATTCCCCCCAGATTTCTAGTCATTATCTTTCCTTGGAGAATTGGTGTTGAGGAAGCGACCGGTATCCATCGGTGGTAGTTTCCCTATCTGTCCTTTATTCGCGCATCCAAGTTTACATAAGAGAGATGCAGTTCTAATGATTGTAGGATATTCGTAGTTCCAGCTGGTCAGTTTTCTGGGAAAAACCTAAAGCATCTGTAAGCAAAAGGGACAATTTGCTTCTGATAAGTTTGTGGACAATAGCCGAGACGAAATTTCCATCATGTGATTTGGTATCCTCCGCTCAAAACCTTGTCGATAGATGACTGAGACCGTCTTAGCTGTTAATGCTGCAGGACTGCTCCGCCGAAAGTGTCCACTGGAATTAACTATTTGTTAATTTGCCATTCTCACAGACATTTTCCCCTTGCAACTTTCAGAATACTTTCCTAACGCCGATAAACAATGGGCATGGCTGTTGTTCTTCGGCACGTCTTTTTGTTTTTGAAGTTATAAGACTTTGTATTATTGCAGGTCAGTGCTGCATATTACAGTAGTAATTTTACTATCTTTGTCATATCGAAACTCGATTTCACAACACAGTGGTTTAGGGTCGGTGTCTGATAGATGCTAAAGACTGAATAACAGTAAGCAAGCAGAACAGTTACGAAAATGCCCATAGAACTTCTCAAGTCGGAAAAAAATTTACCCTTTCCTCCGCTACCTTGCACCCGTATGACAATGCACATTTCACCTACCTCACGCTGACCGCCGGAATCCTTATTCGACAAAACAGCCTATGTATTGCATCGTGGTCAAAATCTGATTTTGCGACGGTTATTCTGTCCTATAATTTCAAACTCTACTTCCTGGCCCCCTGCGCCAGCTTTAGTTTGCATTTTCTTCGCTGTTTTTTCTGGTTGAATCGCGTTAGGAACTACACTCCTTCCTCTACTTAGCGATCGTTTGAATTAGTCCAAAATATTATATATAGCTCATTCGGGGCGAGTTGTGTGGTCATCTGGGCAGCCAAAAAGTCACTAAATAGTTTAATAAAGTCGATAGAACTGGAAGTTTTCAACGTACACGCTCTCCTACGATCAGTTGCTTGATAATGAAAACCAATGTTTCTTCTCGACTTCATTCGTGACCGTGTATTCGCCTAGTAAAAATACTGGTTAGATTATTTAATGGCCGGCAGGGAAGTTGTTAAAAACAACACTATGCTCTCCACCTTATTTTCTCCCGGTCTGAAATTATGGGGAGACTGCCCACGGTCAGGCTTGAAGCCTGACTCCAGCATTACTCGTTTAATATCTGGCTACTGCAACGCGTTTCAGTAACAAAACTGTATCGACTGAAATGTGATTGAACACGGGGACTCTCGATGGGACATTGTACCGCAGGTGGCTAGAGCATTGGCTGTACTTAAACCTGCCTCTTTCTGTCGTAGCTTCGAATCCCACTGAAGCATCGAGTTTTTCACAGTTGGGTCAAAATGAATTATTCAAAATCAACCAAAACACCAATTAATTACGTGAGTCTGGTGGTCATCTAGTGGATTCTAGATTGATTACTTGGGAAATACTGTGACTAGAGCGTTGGTTGTACTACAGCCTTCCCGCTGCTGTCGTGGGTTAGAACCCCACCGAGGTCGCCGAGCTTTTCGCAGTTGGGTCAAAAAAACTGCTTTAGACTTTGATAATGTCGTTAAAGGCATCTTCTGCCGGATAATGCACACGTTAACTCATTGCGGTTATGAACTACTTGATTTGTCTGGGCGGCTTACACTACAGATTGACGCTCTCTCTCTCCCTCTCTCTCTCTCTCTCTCTCTCTCTCTCGAGAGAGAGAGAGAGAGAGAGAGAGAGAGAGGAACGCTTTACTTTGAAAATAACATTCAAAACTTTCAGCAAAAACGGTTCTCCAGTACACAGTGATTACCATAGAGATTAACAGGTATTGTACAGGTAGATGCGGAAGCAGTCAGTGGAGGTTTCGAACGTCCAATTCAAATTGCCTTTGATTTGCCTTGGAGAAATAAATGTTTAATCATTTTCACAGCGAACTGCATTGTTGAAATGCCACAGTCTGAACTTCTTAAATTTGTCGGAGACAGGCTTTTCAGAGAGGTTCCACTGAAGCTGCCACTTCCTACGAGCAGCCAGCGGTTTTTGATGCTTATGATACGAAGTGCAACCCACTGCGTATTGCTTATTACTAGGCTCTAGCTGGAAGACTGTCATAAAATGTACATATTCCCTAATGGCCACGAAAAGATTTCGGTTCTGTTGAGAGATCTTCTTGACTATATTTGGCATGCATGTCTTTCATTAGGGTCAGTTATAGTCCATATAGTGGTCAAACCTCTCCTAACTGCCGTTTTCTGGGCGTCGAGATCAAATTTTAGGGCTTAGCTGCCGATAAAGAATTCATTTGATCATAGTCCAGCCGTCAGTGACGTCGCTGCGATCACGCCTGATAATGCGGTTTTAAGTTTCCTCGACGGGGATGCTATTTGTCTCTTCATGAGTCGTAAATTTGACGTATAAACTACAGACAATGAAGGCTTCGAAAATTCAACTCATATTGAATCCTATACTATCCTTCAGGTAGGGGACTTCAGGACAAGGATACCAATATGCACATTCTTGGAGATGGAATTAAGTACGCCACGCTCCACTGGCATCTTTTGGGCTCCGGCATTGTAGGATGTTTTACAAAAAGCAGAGCTGGTGACCATGACTCATTTCCATCCAGGAACAAAGGACAAATGAAGACTAAATCGATACAGTCCTCCTTGGTCTACAGTAGTGAGCGATTGGATGGCCAGATTCAGAGGCAAAAAAGTTCAAATCATGAGGCTACTTTAACATGCACGTAATTCTACGGAACGCTGGGGAATCAGCCGTAGGCCGTTGGAGTATCATCGTCTTCATAGAGCTAGGAAAGGCTTTAAAGGTCTGACTATGTGTTTCACTCGTAACAACCACATGACCTTCACAGATTCTTCACATGCACACAAGTTAGTCTGAGAGGTAACGCGTTACTCACTGACATGCGTCACTCTCCGCACGGCTCCTGATTGTTTGGGGGTGTTTTGGCGCGTTCTATTTCGCTCTGGGAGTAAATATCGATACTCAAACAGAAGCCAATGTTTATCTAGTGGGAAATTCAAAACCACTTGTAATTGATCATCGAACTGACATCTTTAAAAATGTTTCAATAGCTGTAACGATTCCTTTATAATATAGCCCTTATGAGATTTTCACGTATGCGAGGCCCTAGCTGCTTAATGCAGCCCGGTTAAGGAAGAGGGGACTAGATCATGCGTGATACGCGTAGACGGACTGTTTGCATTGCCAGCCATGCCTACCGTCGATTGGCGTACGGCGGTTTTGGGAGGAGAGAGATCGAGGTAGATGCGGTGAAAGTCTGCCTCATTATAAACGATTTCGCACGCAAGTCACACTTGTGCCCACCCCGTAGTGGACGTCGCCGCCTGCGAAGGTTAAAAGAGCACTCCCTAAAATATTAAAATTCCTCGACAGTTTTCGACTGTTCAGTTAAAAGTCTATTTTTGATAATATCATTCACACAGCACTGAGTCATGCCTCCTCCTTGCTTCGCTCCTTTAATGTCCTGTCCAATTTTTCGAGCCATTCTTCGAGAGCCACAGACGAACCTGAATTCAGATAAAGCGTTTTATTACTTGGTCAATGCACACTCTTTTGCATGAGCAGATAAAAAGTAGGTGATTTTGTTTATTTGTCCTCCCTGTCTGGACTTTTTGGCTATCAGTTTGACTCAGTTCGCTGATTGGTGGATAACTGACCACTTAGTAATTCGAACTGAATGTGCTTATGTGTTGGGCTGATAAACCTAACTACCAATTTTGAGATACGCCCTCCTGTGAGTTTCAATCAGATCCCTCCCGAGAGATGAATGAATAACACTTGTTGTCGAACTTTCGTCATCTGACTAGATCATTTATAGACCACCAACTACACGCAAGCATTAAACAAGAGGACGATGTTTAAATATTCATCTGAGAAATGGGCTTCGATGAGCGCGTCTAAGCTAACAGAGCGGCTTCCAACCTTTGTTCATTCTGCTAGGGCAGTATATGACTAGTTGGCATTGATAAGGAAAGCGGCCTTGAGTGGTACAGCTTCAACAACCGTTTCTCCATTTCTTCACTTTATTGTTTTGTTTTAAACAGGCAACTGCCATCGAGGGCCCGAATCGAAACTGAAAAAAGGCAGAGGCAATCGTGCCCTCGTATAATCAGGAAAGCATGCTAAAACACCGCGCTTTGATTTAAATGCAAATGCACTAGCAAAGACTGCACTAAACCACCTACCGCGGGATGATTGGAGGTACGTAGAATAGGCTGCCCTCAGACTATTTAAGTACTTTGGGGCAAGTTTTTTGAACTCTTCCACGCCAATCACATCAAGTTCCGATTTTGTCCACCTGTAGAGAAACTGCTCCATCGTTTTTTCCGATGAGCTAATAAAGCAAAAAATGCCTTCGGTGCAGTTACGCGTCTTTTCTGTTTGGTGGATTAAGTAAGGTCATATGTTGAGAGAGGAAACTGCGGTAGGACTTAGTTAAGAAGCCTCTATCATGCAAGGATGCCTGTTATGTCAGACTAAAGAAAGTACAAGCATTTCAGTTTGCAGGCGTCTACCTTGCCTGCAAAAGATCTCCTGTAGAGAAAGACTCCCGTGTTGTAGCCAGCTTTGCCCTCTTTACGAGTGACTTTGGCGGTCTGAAATAGAGACAAACAAACGTTTACTGATAACTAGGCCATTCAGTCTTTTAAAGTTTTGGGGGTTATGATGCGCTTGTGTTTTCGCGTACATATGATTCATTTCAAATTTTGGCGTGGCAACGCGCACGCATTATTCTGGTCGAAAAAGGGGAAGAAAATGTTATTTAAAAAAGACAGTCTGACAGGACTGTCTTATGTGGACCCCCTAAACAGGACATGGTAATAGGAACGCCCCGCCCAAGTAGTATAGGGGAGACCTCCGCATGATTCCAGAAAGCGCCAAATATTCCCGAGTCCTAACTCCAACAATAACTCTAATATAAAACTAAACCGTTGTCCTAATCTTGACCCTAACCCTACCCTAAATCTTAATCCTGCACTTAACGGTAACCCCCCACCTTAACTCTAAACTCAACCCTGACTCACATCACCGTTAACTTTAGATCTGGCCTCACATGTAATCCTTAATTTAACTCTAGCCCTTACCCTCAACCTAACCCTGATTTTACTGGAAGTTGGTTCAACGCCAGCCGCATTGCAGGCGGTTCCTGGTCAAGGGGCCACATAAGTCAGTCCTACCAGCAGTCTACTAATTAACTTCTATCCTCAGCAATTCGTCATCAACAGGCGTTGCCCAAAGAGGCAAGTAAGGATGGAAGAGCAATTTCTGGTTTATCGTCAGGCACTCTTGCTGGTTTTGATTTGAAAGCAGTGATTTTAGAGTATTTAATGCTAGTCATCATAGGATTATCTGTGAAGACTCCACCAGAAGGCTCCGAAGCAAACGACGCGCTTTTCTACCGAATCGCAGCTAGGACAGATCAGTAAGCACCGTTACTACGTGACCTTGAATGGTCCTTATCGCAGCTGACATAACGTTGGCATACTGATCGATTACTCATCAAGTGATCAGTGCTCAAATCCCCCGTTTCTCAAAAAAGTCATTGTTAACCGTTGCAGCCCTTTTTAATACTTCTTTACCCTCTCTAAATTACTGTTGTTAAGCGATGGCCCGCGTGGATCTTGGACTGAGTTTAAAACCGAATCTGGCGTTTCTGTCTTAGTATCAGGATGGATCGGTGTGCAGCACTCCTATATTCTTTTGTCGTGTGTCATAGGACATCACATCTTCAGTAATGAAATGGTACTCCATTATCTAAATGACTAAAATTTAGTTGGATAAGACTGATGAAAACAGTGCAAGGTCGAAGCATCTTAAGACAAACTTTTAGTACGCCTAGGCTTTACAGAAGGCAATAGTTTCAAATCTTTGCATCTTTACTGGTAAAGGAATTTCAATGTTACAGAACTGAATCATTCGGTTAATTCCAACTGACTATACCGGTCACTGGTAAATGGACGATGCGCGGATCTTAGACTGAGCTTAAAACCGAATCTATCGTTTCTGTCTTAGTACCAGGATGGATCGGTGTGCAGCACTCCAAAATGCTTTTGTCGTGTCTCAAATCACGTCACATCTTCAGTAACTAGCTAGTACTCTCGTAACTAAATGACTTAAATTTGGTTGAGTAGGACTCATGAAAGCAATGAAAGGCCGAATTCGCGCTAAGTTAACAAACATAAACCAGTGAAACATCTTAAGACAAATTTTTGGTACGCCTAGACTTTAGAGAAGGCAATAGTTTTAAATCTTTGCATGATTACTGGTAAAGGAATTTCAATGTTACAGAACTGAATCATTTGGGTAATTCCAACTGACTACACCGGTCACTGGTAAATGGACGAATAGAGGCTTTTAGAGTACTCTATATTATACTTGCTTAACATCGACAAAGTTGCACTTGCTCCCAATCCTGTTTCTGGGCGCGTTGCCTGAGTCGTCGGTGTTTTTTGTCTGTTGCGAGGAATTACAGTAGGTGGGCTAACTCATGAAATGCCGACCGAAATTCCGAAATGTGTTTTCGCTTCGAAAAGATTAATTAAGTAGGGTTGTAAAACTAGTCAGCCTGCCACATAATTCTATAATATTTCAGTTACCTCAGGATGCCGGCTTTCGAATAAACTTCTTTCCGGCTGCAAGCAAAAATTACACTCCGTAAAAAATGACTGCTTAAGTAGCATGCAATTTTCTCATTGATTTTCGAGGCCCATAAAAGTCCAGTTATATTTCACGAAAAACATGCATAAAAATTATCATTCCTTTGCTCATTCGAGAGATAATTACGTCTTATTCTAATTTTATACTCAAACGAGGGACATAGTTCAGTCTTTAAAAAGTTTATAACTGTGGGAGTTTAAATACCGTGAAATGGCCGTTCATAAATCGTCATGTCTCTGCATTTACCAGTGTGGCTTTTAAAGTTAACAATATGGATCCAATCCACTGCTTAATTTTATGAAGCCTATATGGTCCCCCTTTAGTACCGTAGAGAAATGTGTGGTTTACCATACGCGGAAAATATACGGCTTGTAGTTTGGAAACCTTGAATCCAAGTGTAACGGTAGAGCGGGTTCAATATTATTCGGGAATTGGAAAAGTTTTTTTATGTCTCCTTTCAAGTATAAAATTAGAAGAAGACGTAATTTTCTGCCAAATGAACGAAAGAATGCATATTTTTATGCATGCTTTCCATGAAATAAAATTGGACATTTACGGACATCGAAAATCAATGAGAAAAATTCGTGCTACTTAAGTTGCCATTTTTTGCAGACTGTAGTTCTTGCATGCAGCCGAAAGGAAATTCATTTGAAAGCCGTCATCCTGAGGTAACTGAAATATTATAGGATTATGTTGCAGGCTGATTAGTTTTACAACCTTACTTAATTAATCTTTTTGAAACGAAAAAACATCTCGGAATTTTGGTCGACATTTCATGAGTTAGCCCACCAACTGTAGTCTCCGCCTTATAGCCGAAAAGGTCTGAATTGCCTATGCTTTCACGCGAGATTAGCATTTTCCACAAAGTCAAATCTCCTTCATTCGCTGGTAAACATTCGCATCATTTTTGACCGTCAGCCCAATAGGGAGGCTGACGAAGAAGGTAAACACTAACGAACACGACTGTGAGAAAGTTGCTTATGGAGCCGAAAATGCGAGTTCCAGGTGCTTGTTAGGCAGATGAGCTCGCAAATCACTGGATTAGTAAGCTTTCGAACTCGAACAGTTTAGTAGTCAAACGATGGGGAAGGCGGCAGTGCTCACGGCTGCGTTAGGTCCATGTCAACTAACGATCGGTGAGCGCCCCCTACCATTGTATATTCCCGATCGAAAAACCGACAGGGCAACGGGCTCGTGGCCCATCCGTTAGTGGCGCGGACCTCTAACTAACGGCTCGCGAGTTCGAGCATCGGGTGTTCCACACTTCGGGGTTGGTATGGCTGGCTGACGACGGCTAATAAGCCAGAACTGGCCATTCCAGTCTCCCTCGTCTTTGTCGGTAATGCCATTCTGTGCATGTCACCCAACCCGCCACGCCGTGAGACCACTGCGAGTTAGACGGCGTGAACCCAGCCCAGCCATGGACTCTACCCCCTTCCCCATCGCTTGAGCACAGAACTGTTCAGTCGTTGTTGCGTTCTCATAGTCTCTGATAGCGGAATCGTGTATGAGTCTGAAAGTTCAGGCAGATGCATACCTACTGTGCCAATGCTCGCGCCGTCGTCTTTATTGCGAAGTCATGTAGGCAATTTGGTAGGATGGTAGTTGGTAGCCCTGCCCACTGATTCTACAATTGTACTTACTGGCTCGATTTCAAGCTCTGTGATTACGTTCTCATTACGTCTGGGAGTGCACGCGCAGAAGCCCTGTCAGGATGACTTTCTTCTTCACTTTAACCGCCCCGAGAACGAGGCGCTGCAAAAATGTCTATATAGACTCATTGTATTGCACCCCTACACGGAAATCTTTAGTAAAGGACGAAAGATTTATCCTAGGCGGATAATGATTCATCATGCTTCTAATAATGCTTCTAATTGCATGTGCGCATTGTGTTATCTGTATCTGATTAATTTTAGAGGTACTATCCTAGGCTGCATACCACAGTACCCAGATGTTACCTGAAAGCATAACCATCCGTGTGCTACAGTGTTTGTAAGGGCATGACCTTTCGACATCTACATAATACCCTACAGGTCAGTAGTCCTTCCTGCTGGAGAAACTGCACTAGGTAGGACGACTGGATTATTTCCAGGATCCGCGAATAATCTGTCGGCCTATCCACTTGCGGTCCTGCTTTCCTTCGCCTTCTAGGAGACTGGACTCTGCAAGCAGAACAAAGTGTAACTTCGTATACAGAGTGCTAATTCCTCTTTACATTGTATAGTACACCATTCACGTATAGCAAACAACTACTGCCATTTGTTTAATCCTAGATGTGGCCACAATGACAATACACTATTATTTGCAGATTTTCTCTTTCGCCCAAACATACTTTTCGCATTAAAGTCTTATCCCGCTTGGGTTATGCCGTCCTGCGTGCCGCTGCTTGACTCTCGTGTTCTCATGTCCATTCTGTCGGTTAGAGTACTATCGCACATACTGCGGAATGACCTTAAGACACAATGCCTTCTTCCTATTGGTTGTTCGACTTCACTTGCTATTCTTCCCAATCTGGGGCAAGGATGCATTTATTCTGCATACCGTACTAATTATCCATGCTTATTTCTATACCCTCCTTGCATTTTCACCTTATTTAAATCAGACTTTCACTTTGTCAGGAACGTCACCTCCAGACATACACTACAAACGCCATTTACGCCTCCACTTATCTGCCCCACCCGCATAGCCCCTATTACCATCGGTCCCATAAGACAGGTAGCTGGGAGTTTTCGTTACCGGGAGGGCTACCAACTATCATCTAACCGGCAATTCTTTTGATGAAGGTTAAATTCTAGTTCTTCACAGGCAGCCTGCACATCTTAAAGTTCATTTTGTTCTCCGGTAGTCACATTTGAATGTTGAATGCTGTGTGCACATGTGCATACCACCGGTATTCGATCAACGAATCTCCTTTTGCTGCCTTCCACAGCTATCTCTCTTGAAGGGCTGGCCTGTGCTCGCTGTAAACCCTACAGTGCGTGACCGATGTCGTGAAATGTCGGCCGAAATTCTGAAATGCGTTATCGATTAGGAAGGATTAC